TATTAGGGAGCAAGGACAGAAACTGGGTCGGCAGAGAATTTCTCTCCAGTTAGTTCAGTGCAAAACACGAGGCATAAGGAAGGATCAGACTCAAGAAGCCAGTACTAGTGGCTTTCCAAGTTGCTAGTGATTCTTTTCACAGACACACATATACACATGTGCAAACACACCCACCAGAATTGTGTATATGTATATGTGTGTGTATACAAATACAGATAGATAAATAAATTATATATATGTATGTATACATATATATGTGATATCTATTTATCTATATTGATAAGAGGGATATTTTGAAAAGTGTACCAATCAAATAATGCCAAAATAGGCTAAGAACTGGGAAATTCAATTTGATCCAGGAGATCTGGTCAGCAGGGAAAGGTGAGACTGTGAGGGTTATCAACATTCAAAGAGGAAAAAAGAACAGTTCTGAAAAACAGAATTATGCCACCCCTCTGTCATGACTGCTATACTTTGGGCCATGAGCCACACAAGCCCAGAAGCAACTGCCAAAGTTTTCAGACAGCTGTGCAAGCACTCTCTGCCATTTGTTCAGCTGTTTTGAAGTGAGAGAGACACATACATATTCCCATGGTTCCACCAAGTAGAACTTTTAATTTGGAACAATGTGATTAGAATACAAAGTCTTTTTATTAGGTGTGATTTTGTCACTCTGAATACATACTCACCTGAAGGAATGCATTTGCTGCTTATTTTTTGCAACTAATGGAGGTGCACACAATACATCATGCCACATTTTAAAATGGGTTATGCTGAAGAAATGAAAATAAATCATTCTTTCCACCAAAAAGGAGAGTTGTTGCTTCGAGAAATGGGTGCCTATTCACTTGGCAACTCAAAATGTCTTGAATGTAATTTGTCAAAATTCTATCACCTTCCTTTCTTTCTTGCATATGAGCATCACAATTTCAAAGAAAATGATTTAATGATGAAATCTTGAATTGTAGCAAAACAACTCAACTTGTATATATGCACACAATTATTATGTTTGGAAAATGAATTCACTGGATTTGTTAAAAATGTGAAATGTTCCCTTCTTCCAAAGGAGGGAGAAAGGAGCACAAAGGCTTTTATTAACTGATCTTTGTTGCCTTCCACATTTTTTATAAAGACTCAGTGTGTGGGAGCTAATTACACTAGTTATGTTGGGTAATGAGCTATTAATTTTGTGCTTCAAACTTATTAACCACCTATCTATATTCAGTTCACAGGCATATGAATAAACTTAATCCCTGTATTAAAACACAAACAATCCAAATAATCCTGTTTCATGACTTTTCAGAGTCAATTATCTCCTTGGCAATACTATACTAGAATTCAGATATACCACTGCCACTTTAGAAGGGAGTCTCTGGCAGGTTATATCAGAAGCCTGTTAAAGAAAATATAATCTCTATAATGATTTAATAGTCATTCCTCTTCAGACCAGATATAAAAGGTCACTGAGGAAAGGCATTTTTTCCCAGTGATTCAACCTGATTAAGTTTGTAAAAATTTCCTCTTCCAATGATCATTCAAGTCTTGAGAAACTTTACTTGTGTAATATACAGCTAACATTTGCAAATGTAAACAAATCCACAGAGAAAATAAAATATTTAAGATGATTACAATTAGTGCCAAAGAAGTTTTTAAGATTTCTCTTATTTTGATTGTTTTGTCTAATTCTTCAGGGTGAAATGTAACATCATTTAGTTCTAAAGCAGCAATTTTATATAACTGATCTAGTTTCCAATTATCAAAGGGCATTTTATTTTAAAAAGCATTTCACATGTTAAATAGCTACAGTAAATGACAGCAGTATTGCCATCAATCATGATTCTTGTGTGCATTTAAGGTCTCTATGCTAAGAGGAAACAGTAGTTTAGTGTATCAATAATCCCAAGGGAAGTTCATAATAATTTATTTTTATGGCTTATTAAAAGCATAGTCATAGCCCAAAGGTCTCTGAATACCCATAAAATTAGAAAACCATTGCCATAAAATTAAGAAATAATAGTGAAATCTCCATGGAAGAMGCAATTCAACAAGGTGCCACCCTTTGGAAATCACTTAGATTATATAAGTATTTCAAATCAAAACTTTGACAAAGCAAACTAYATCAACTATATGATTCCTTTTGAAGTTTTCTGATTTTGGATATGGGGAAATTAATTATTTTAGCATTATACAAATCATCAACAATTTGATAGTTTGATAGCCACAAGAGAGTAAAAAGYTAAGTGAAATGTAAAGATAAGAAAATTATTCTCAGAATACAATTCAGTGGAATTGTTATTATTATACTTAAACTTTAAATAAATTTAAAAACTAAACATTTGAAGACAGGTTGTAGCATAAAATCTGGATGCTTCAAAATACATCTTATTAAAATTCCCTCTACTGATTTTTTWAAATGACAAAATATGAGGAAAAGTTTATTATATTTTTAAGAAAATACGGGTAAAAATTTTATTTAAAATAAGTGAATGAAAATTAAAAGCATGAAAGGAAAAAAGAAAATATGCTTAAAAAAACCTGTACCTTTGTACTAAGGAAAATAAAATATTRATGATTTTTTTCTTAGTAGGGAAAGCTCAATTTGCTTAGGAGCAAATTGACAGTCTCARTACAATCTGACAAAGAAAAACAAGAGATGATCTTGGGAAAATGATTTTCACATGTTTAGATAAAGAGGTAGGTGTATAAGAGCAGTCAATAAATTTATGAAAATTAAATTTTATTGAATTAGAAACCTTCGATTCTAATCATTATTCTTAGTAGGATAGGTATGCAAAGTTTATTTCTGGCAGCACTTTGTTAGAGTAACAAGTTATTGATATTAGGCTTTTCTTGTTCATACACTGTCTCCTCCAMACAATGAAAAACACTTCTCTGATATCAGAAATGATGATCGATTTCAAAATTTATTTTTAATTAAATGTGTCCATTATATAGTATTAGATGAAAAYAGCAAGTTATAAAGTGGTATACAAGATACAATTTTTTGATGTATGGAAACTATGTATCAAAATACTAAATGTGGTTTTCTCTGAGTAGTAGGACAAAGGGCAATTTTTCAGCTTTTATACTTTTTAATATTATGGGAATTTTTCATTATAAAACACATTTCTTCTAGTCATAAGAAATCTTTTCAATATTTGTGGGTGGGAACTCATAAATATCAGATACAATAAAATTAAAGAAAGTGGATGAAGACASCTTCTGGGATACGAAAAATCAATAGCTACACTTTGATGAGGGCTTCTGTGTTAGGGACTCTCCCACTGGCCACCTGCTGTTAGTGTGCAGGGACTTGCTGGGATACAGGATACTGCAGGAAGAAATCATGTGCTTTAATTTCCTAGTTTGTAGTCTCCTTTTCTTATCATTTTACTGTTGGCATCAAGGTGAACACATTAGTGATGAAGTCTCAATTCATAGCATTACTACCACTATGCCCTACTGTGGTTCTTACACATGATATGAAAACGACACTTTGATAAAGTACTTGAATAATTTAAATAAAAGGTAATCTAATAAGTCTCTTCACATAGGCCATACTAAAATCTGCCTCAGTGATTTCAAGGGGGGTTTTACCAAAGAAGTGAAAAGTTTGGTAATGTTGGCTATCATACTGTATTTAGTTTAAATCCTTTTAACAAAAACCTGATTTGTCTAGTTCTGATTTCATACTTAAATATTAGGTTTATAGGACAATTTGCTAACATAAAAGCCTACTGAATAAAATTACCTGGCATAAAAACGATGTACCAAAAATAGTAAYATATACTTATGATGTATTTACTATGCCAGGCATTGTTCTAAAAACACTCTATAGCAAGTCAATGATTCCTTAAAGCAACCTTTGAGGTAAGTGCTACTATTACCCCTCAATTCACCCAGGAGCAAACTAAGGCTCAGAGAGCCAGTAAGTCCCTCATCCAAGGTCACATACCTACATACCTAAAAAGTGACAGACAGAAGGTGGTGCTAAATCCAGATAATCTGGCTGTAGAACACTTATTTTTTACAGACTTTTAAAAACCTGAATATGCTTTTAATTTTAGAATAGTGTCAGATGTATAAAAAAATTGAAAAAGACAGTACAGAGAGTTCATGTGGGTTCCTCAATCAGCTTCCCTCCTTGTTAAAGTCTAATCTTATATTGTACTTTTGTCACAACTAAGGAACAACATGCATATATTGACATTCATTAAAAACCATACTTTATTCAGATTTCATTATTTTTTTCCCTAATGTTCTTTTTTTGGTTCAGGATTCTGCCCAGGAGACCACAGTACATAGAGTTGTCAAGTGTCCTTAGCCTCCTCTTGGTGGTGACAGTTTCTTAGACCTTCCTTGATTTTGATGACATTTGACAGCGTTGAGGAGTACTGGTTAGGTATCTTGTAGAATGTGCCATAATTTGGTTTCATGTGATGTTTTTTTCATAAATAGACTGGGGATACAGTTTTAGAGAGGAAGACCAAGAAGTAAAGCACCATTCTCAACACATCATCTCAAGGCTACATGCTACCATGACTTATCACTGATGATGCCAGTCCCAAGGACCTGGCCAAGGTACTGTATGCATGGGGTCTCCATGGTTCCTACCCTCCCTRCATCCACCATTTTCCATGTTCTGTGTTATAAAAGACAGTTACCAAAGTCATACAGTCAAGAGATGAAGGGTGGCAGGGGTTAAGCTGGGCTTCTATATAAATCACTTGAAATTGTTCCGAGTGCCCATTTTTAACCCGTTACTCTGTATTGCCTCTTATATCTTACTTTCTATATTTGCAAATTATTCATTTACAATAGCTTTAAAACACAAGTTTAACAAATTTCCTGCTTTTTCAAAGATCCAAAAATATGTTAGAACTAAATGTGACAACAGATTAATTTGTTAAAAAACATTTTCCACGGATCACTCTAGAATCTGTCACTAAGTGATTAATTAGAAACTAGTTTTTCTCAGAAGCATTCTGTAAAGAATTTACCAGAAATATACGTTCAAGTTGATCCTGAATGTCTTTCATTCCTGGAAAAGCAGCAACTCCTTGGATCATCTCAACAAAGATGCAGCCGACTCCCCTGAAGAAAGAAGAAAGAAGAAAGAATTGTTTTATAAAAGCTTCAACATATTCTGCTTAGAAAACTAAATCTGAGTTTAGAGTATCTACTCCCCACAGGGGAAGCAATGAGTAAATAATACTGTGAACAGGCATTAAGAGCTGTGCAGGTACCCAGACCAGGACTCTCCTTCTCCACCTCTGTCTAAAGCCCCAAGAGGATTCTAAGCAGATACAACTACACTGGCACCACAAACAGTGGAAACCCGTAACATAGCGGCCTCCGTGGCTTCTTCTCACTTAGAGGATTCAGTTGAGAAAGTCCTGGGCTGACATGCATAAGTTTGCACAGTCTTGTTCTAATATCCTTTCCCAGCAGTAGTTCATAAACCCCTAATGTCCTGCAGGCTATGGCTGTCCAGTGGTTCTGAGTCCTTTTCACCTCAGCATCACCTGGGGAACTTTTGAAAAACACAAATGCTCTGACCACAAACCTGAGAGATTCCTCCCAGGTACTGAAATGAGCTGCTTGGATGGTTTAGGGCAACTCACTGAAGATTGCTGAGCCAGACTGACCTAGTGCCAAGCATAAACCGAAAGGACTTAGCTCAATTTGCTTCACTACCTGGAACACCCTCCTTCTTCATCTATTTAATCTTGACATGTAAATCAGACTCAGCTTTGCCATCTCCTCCACAAAGTCTTCCATGAACCTTCCAGTAGACAAAATGGCCCTCCTTGTGARCGTATTGGATAAGCCCTTACTCAATATATTAGCCATCAACCACACTCAGCCTTCTCTCCTTCCTTGACCTGCCATGCTCACAGTTCCTCTCTAGCAAGGCAGTCCAGCATATGAGAGGAACCAGCCTCCCAGGGCACAGCAGCCTGCACTTAAGCCAAAAGGAATAACCAATCTATAGGTTGGGCAGAGAGCCAGTTTCGCTGGAATTTTGAAGAACAAGTCAWTTGTAGCGGGATGGCAAGAAACTAGCATATGTTGATGGAATAATCACATTAATGTCAGAGAACTAGCACAAATACCCATATATTCCTGCACGCGAAGTCCACTAAACTGATCTGGATTCTGCCTTCTGGAGGACTAGATGTTCAGATAACCCAATGTTTTTTCTACATCTCTCTGCATCATAGCAGTTCTCCATATTTTTTAAAGGCTTTATCTTAAATGGGTTTATGTTTCTTGCAATTACTCCTAAAAAATTCATGAATTTTTTATTAATTGTTATACTCATAGTCAACCTAGGGCAAGCCAACCCTTGCATCATTAACTTATTTCAGAATCCCATGGGGTAAAGGACCAATGAACTATTTCTCTACAGCTTCTCCAGTTGTTATCACAGTTGTATATAAACTGTATACAAGCTGTATATAAAATGTTTTGAATTGAAGTAATACTTTTACAGAAATGCCTTTCCTATTATACACCTAATTTTTATTTAAATATACACAGTGCCAAAATGACTAAAATTAAACAAGTCCRACTTCATGTCATAAAAATTATTTAAGTAATAGAGTATTAATTTCAAACCATTGTTCTGAAGAGATGGTTTTAACACAATTTGTTTTCATTTTAGATTTGAGAGATAGCATAGGTATAGAGAGAATTACTTTATTAGCAAAATAAAATGCAATGACATGTCTATAAATATTACAGTTGCAGATGTCTAAGGAAGTATATTTAAAATTCAGCATGGTGGTTTTCCAAAGTTTTTTTTTTTTTAACCAAGAATTCTTTTCTAATAGTGCCCTACATTTTTATTGCCTTCTTATTTACATTTACATAAAACTGCACTACCTTTATGTTCACAGTATGCTTTCTGTTGTCCTCCTTTTGGCCCTTATCTTTGCTACCACAAGTTACAACTCTGAGTGTAAAGACCCCTCAGCAGATGCCACAGCCACCCCACTGTGTACACAGGCACCCTCTCATGGTAACTACCACACTGTTAGACTGCCAACAGAACTCCTTTTACCGCTACTTATTATTAGTTTATATCCTCTCCAAAGCAGGATACTTGGAATGATTGGAAAATCAATTATGATGCAATCCTATTTAGCAGAAATGGAATGATAACTGTTTCTTTATGGGTGCCTATCTGCTTGGCTAGCTAAGGGAYCTGGACGTCCATTTCTAATGGATTCTTCCTATGATATCATTTTCAAAGGTGTGTGAGAGTATATTAAAAAAGCTGAAAGAATTACACGTAATGGTGTGTGTGGGGGGGTGCACACTTGTAATCCCTGCTGCTTAGGAGACTTGAGGCAGGAGGATCATGAGTTCAAAACTAGCCTCAGCAACTTAGAAAGGTCCTAAGCACCTTTGGGAGACCCTGTCTCAAAAAAAAAAAAAAAAAAAAAAACCATAAAAAGGGCTGGGGATGTGGCTCAATGGTTAAGCATCCCTGGGTTCTATTCCCAGTCCCCAAAAGCAAAAACAACAACAACAAAAATTAATTTTACATAACATACAAAAAATTATACAAATAAAATAAGTGAATTTTAAAAGCAAATTAGCCTCCTAATAGAGCAGAATCTTTATTACTGGAAATGCCTAATTACCRAATGACAATAAAAGTCTTTCAATTTAATATGATGGGACCACTGCCTGCTTTCCTTCTCCTCCCTTTACTACCATCCATTAGCCCTGTGCTTCCTTTCTGACTTCACTGAGTGGCTTACTGGGAATGAATTCATCCACTTAAGTACAATACTTATGATAAATAATCTTGTATTAGGAAATGTCTAATTTGTGACTTCTTTTTGGAATTTGAATATCTATGTAATTATCATTCACTAGTCAAATTTTTTCAAGAATAAGAACTAATAACAAAATCTTATAGTTAAAATATCATAGAGTTCAGTATATTCAAACTCCTTTTTTTTAGGATTAGTTAACAGTAACAAATAAAACCCCCATACATGCAACATCTTTCAATTCTTTTGAACTCAAAATTTTCAAATTTAACATATATCATAAGTGTATGAATGATTTTTTTCATTGCAATTCAAAATGAGATTCTAAGAAAAACTGCTTATTCAGTTATCAGTTATAACTGAMTAAGCAGTTAAAAGATAGATAGATACCAGATAACTGAATAAGCAGTTAAAAACTGATAATTCTTTGTGAGTACAGGCAGAAACAGATACTCTTTTGGGCCTGAATGTCATATAATTTGGGAATTTTGTAATGAAAAACAAAGCAAAATTATGAACAAAAATTGGATGTCAAAGCAAATTTAGAATGAGAAAAATCAATCAAAGGAAATCACAACTAAAATATATGACAATTTAAAATTTGGAAAAAATTWAAAAAAATTTATTATTAACTGACAAACCATTCTGATATTTTTTGTTTTAAAATTTTAGTCGAATAGTCTTCAATGAATTCACAACAATCTTGTAATATATCTGAGGCAAACTAACTTCATAAAGGAAAGAGGATAAGTTAGCTCACAGGTTGGGAAGTGGAAACTCCAAACAGGGAAAGGTTCTGGTGAGGGCCCCCACCATAACTATATCACCTCAAGGTAGTTGTAAATGGTGGAAGTATGTGGGATCAAGAAATCACATCTCAAAACAGGAAGCCAGAGAGGATGGGTCAGGCCAGATCTTTATAACAACCTCCTTGCAACAATTAAACAGGGTCCACAAGAAAGAACTCAATCCCTTCCAAGGGTATACATTCATTGACCCAAGGACCTCCCAAGGAGCCCGGCCTCTTCAAGTTCCCATCACCTCTCAATGTCACCACTCTTCTAATGACCAAGCTTCTCACATATTAACCTTTGGGGAAACATATGCAAACCATAGCAGGGTCAGTGAAGGCCCCACGTGCTGTGTTGCTGGCCTTACTTTGCAAATTACTGTCACATCTCTATTTATGAGATTTCCTTTGCTCCAGCCACACTGTTCCTGTCTGTTCCTTAAACATGCTGCACTCTTTCCCCCTTCGGGGTCTCCACACAATTGTTGTTCCCTCTGCCTACTCTGGGAGTGGATAATTGCTTTTGTTATTCAAGGGCAGCTCAAATTAAAAATGTCTTTACTAGCCACCATATATGTAAGGTTGGTTCTACCTTGTTGCCCAGCCCTTACATCTCACCTACCTCATCCTAGTTTGTTCTCTCTATAACAGTTAAGAAATGTTAAATTGTCTTTGTTTATCTTAGGGGGTATTTCCTCTAACAGGAAGATTCATAAACTCAGGGACAAGGATGAGATCATTATCTTATCTCCAGGACACAGCTCAGTGTTAGGCACCTAGTAAGGGCTCAAAAGTGTTTGTCAAATGCATGAATAAAAAGCAATGCCACTATCCCTCCTACCTGACCATGTTAGCTGAGCATAGTGAGTCATTTGCAAAGAGTACAGTATGGAGATGGGGACTAGGAGGTGGGCGGCAACTTTACGATGGAGAAAACTGTCCAACATTACCTGAACCATGTGAAGAAAGTTAACATTATCAGTGCTAAGTCATGTTGATATTATGTACCCTTGGTATGATGTGATGAGTGTCACTTCATCTCCTCCATCTTCTCCCTCTACACATTAGACAAATTCAAACTGAGGGACACTTTATAAAATACAAAATACCTGACCAGTACTCTATAAAATGTCAACATCATAAAAAATAAGGGAAGTCTGAGAAACTATCACCACACAGAGGGGGCTAAGGACCCATGACAACTAAATGTACAGTAGTAGCCTGGATGGGACCCTAAAGCAGAAAAATAAGCCAAATCAAAACTAATTCATCCAGAAGCTGGGTGTGGTGGCACATATCTGTAATCCTAGCCACTCCAAGGCTGAGGCAAAATATWAAAAAGTAAGGCCAGGTATGGTGGCACACACCTGTAATCCAGGATTTGGGAGGCAGGCAAGTTCAAGGACAGCCTAGGCAACTTAGCAAGACTCTGTCTCAAAGTAAAGTAAAAAGGGTTASGGATGTAGCACAGTGGTAGAGAGCCCCTGGGTTCAATCCCCAGACTGAAAMCAAGGTAA